GATCGCTTTTGCGATCACAAAAACCTAATCATCAAGTGATTTCTTCACTAAGCGAAGCAATCGTTAAGCGAGGCACCACTATACATTCAGAACCTTCAGATCAAACTAGGGGAGCTGTGCGCCATCCTAGTATGAAGATGCCACAATTTTCTTGCAGGTATGACGGGACTGGAAACCAAGCCCTAGAAGGAAAGACAGACAAAACTGGGGCTGTTTAGTCCAGCAGGAAGAAGAGTGAGGGGAAATAAAATCACACTTTTCAAATACAGTACTTAAAAAGTGGTCATACAGAGAAGGGGCAAGATCTGTTTTTGATCCTCCCTAATGGGCTCAGGTTACAGAAAGCCAGATTTAGACTGAATATCAGGGGGGAAACTCTTTATCTGTTAGAGCAGTACAACAATGGGACCAATGACGTCAGGGTGTGTGTGTGAGCACAATACTGGAGGCATTGAAGAGAAAATTGGACAACTAAAAGACAGATACATTTTGATTTGGATTCCGGCCCTGAGTAGTGGGTTGGACTCGATGGCCTTATAGGTCCCTACCAATTCCATGATTCTATGGTTTTATGAATCGGAAAATAGCTTGTCTCTCTCCTGATGTTAATGTTTAATGTTTCTTTGGCACGCAGCGGCTCGGATAGAACAGAACATGGACCCAAAAGCTGAGCCCTGCCAGAACTTCTATCAGTATGCCTGTGGTGGATGGCTGAATAGGCATGTCATCCCAGAAACGAGTTCTAGATACAGCATCTTCGCTAAGAGATGGCAGCGGCTCGGATCATTCAGAACATGGACCCAAAGGCTGAGCCCTGCCAGAACTTCTATCAGTATGCCTGTGGTGGATGGCTGAATAGGCATGTCATCCCAGAAACGAGTTCTAGATACAGCATCTTCGACACCCTAAGAGATGAGCTTGAGATTATTCTCAAAGGTGAGAGACTGTGATCTTGACTTTGTCCTCTCTGTGCGTGTACAGACCTGTACTTTGATTTGTCTAGACTCAATTTGAGGGTCAAACTAGACATGAAGGGTTAGGTGTCATCCCTGTGATCAATCCATTTCCCCTCCCACAACAGGATTCCCTCAGAGACAACTGCCTCAGCAATCAGACTTGCCAGTTAAGCCTGTACATATGGCTTCTAATAACCAATCACAAAACAAAGCATGCTATAAGGCGAGATACAAAGGAGACGAAAATCACGACCCTCCGATCTACTGGGAATAGATCCTTTTGCATATAGTTCCCAATCTAAGGTCTTCTCCTATGAGCTGCCCTGTAATTTTTTTTTCAGCAGAAATTAAATAAATAAGTATTTGAGTCCCTTTATTTGAATAATTTAAATGCTTGAATCCCTTTATAGAAGAAATTGGATGGATGGATGGATGGATGGATGGATGGATGGATGGATGGATGGATGGATGGATGGATGGATGGATGGATGGATGGATGGATGGATGGATGGATGGATGGATGGATGGATGGATGGAAGAGTTGCTTACACTGGGAGAAATCAATTAGTCCAAGGTTGCCCAGAGAACTTTTGGACAGAGAGGAAAACTGGATGCAAGTTTCCTAAGGGCTCTGGTGACATAATAGCTAAAAGGATGGGCCAAAAATAATAGGAAATCCCTGGTTTAGCTCTTGCCCTGTTGTGTATTGGTGACTCTGCCTCTAACTCTCTTTAGGTGTGCTGGAGACGCCCAATAGCAAAGATCGAGAAGCCTTCCAGAAGGCAAAATTACTTTACAGATCTTGTATGAATGAAAGTGAGTCTCCTCTGATTTTTTTTTTAATTTATTCCCTCTCTTCCCTGATCGATAGATTTACCTAAGATTCTGGTCAGTCGTTGGAGAGACATGGACCTCTTCTCTGAATTCCACAGCTTGGAGAAGTCTGAAGCTGCCACTCCTTCACCTCCTCCTTTTTGGTTATGCTTCATCATCACTTTTTCCTCCTCTTCTTCTTCTCCATCCTCTCCTCCTCTTCTTCTGCTTCCTCTGCAAAAAAATAATAATAAATATTTATTTAAAACAGCATGGTTTCCTGGACCGTTTGTGCCAAATGGTGCCCTTGAGGAATTCAACATCATGCCCTTCCCTTGTCTCTCTGGCCTAGAAAGGGCAGGTCTGACCTCTAGACAGACCCAACAGGCCAAGTCCTGGGTCACCATCTTTGCCTCAGGCTGCTGGACAAGGATCTCTTCAAATTGGGAGAGGCCGTGATGCAATGCCTGCCTCCAGGCTGAATGCTCAGAGGTCAAGGTTTCCCATCTGTTGAGGTCCATTCCTAAGGCCTTCAGATCCCGCTTGCAGATGTCCTTGTATCGCAGTTGTGGTCTCCCTCTGGGGTGATTTCCCTGCACTAGTTCTCCATAGAGGAGAACTTTTGGAATCCGACCATCAGCCATTCTCACAACATGCCCAAGCCAATGTAGACATTGCTGTTTCAGTAATGTATACATGCCAAAAATTCCAGCTCATTCTAGGACTACTCTATCTGGAACTTTGTCCTGCCAGGTGATACCAAAAAATGCGTCAGAGGCAATGCATATGGAACGTGTTCAGCTTCCTCTCCTGCCATGCACAAAGGGTCCAGGACTCACTGCAGTACAGGATGTGCTCAGGACACAGGCTCTATAAACCTGGACCTTGGTACATACATTAATACTGTATACAATTAAATGGATTCTGGAAAGGTGTTGGTGATGTATGCAATCCATAAGAATCTCTCTCTCTCTATCTCTATCTCTCTCGGTCAGTCGGTCAGTGATGCTTTTTATGGGATGTATATATATATGCTGTGATGTATGCAATCCATAAGAATCTCTCTCTATCTCTATCTCTCTCAGTCAGTCGGTCAGTGATGCTTCTTATGGGATGTATATATATGCTGCATGTATAAAAAATGCTTTATTGCTTTCTCAGGCTGTATGCAACAACATTGATTAATCCATAGATTATCTTATTTGCTTCTCCCACCCCACCCCCTCTGTCCAATCTCTAGGTTTCATAGAGCAAAGTGATTCCTTACCATTGCTGGAGGTTTTAGACATGATCGGAGGCTGGCCGGTGGCTTCTGCAGACTGGAATATTACCGACGGTAACAGGGAGGCCAGAGAGCCTTGGGGATGTAGCAGAGAGGGTTTGGACCCCTGCCTTGATCAAGGGGGTTGGACTCGATGGCCTTAGAGGTCCCGTCCCACTCCAGGATTCTAGGATAAAGAGAAATCAAAGATGGCAAACTCAAACTTCTTTGATTTTCATGGGTTTATTCCAAATAGTGAGCAAATCTGTGAACTCGCAGAAGGGTAATGACACAGGATCATGCACACACCCTACTCGTTTGGACAGGTTTGAATTCAACAAATTGACTCGTCTAATGTCAGCCTAGCCAAGCTTTGGCTGGTTAAGAGTATGCCCTTATTCAGCAGCCCAAACGACACATATTTACTCAGAAGTAAAGCCTCTCTGATGGCACTAGAACCTCAAGGAGTATAGAGAAACTGAAGCTTTCATAAAGCTGAGCTCGACACATATTTACTCAGAAGTAAAGCCTCGCCGATGGCACTAGAACCTCAAGGCGGTGAGGAGTATAGAGAAACTGAAGCTTTCACAAAGCTGAGCCGAGGAAGGTTGGAGTCTTTGTAGGAGTTGCAGAAATGTCTCATGCTCATTTCCAAAACCATTGTTTTTAGAAGAAACATTCATGACCCCATACGTTGACCCCCTGGAATGATCACACTCACCAGATCTAATCAGCCTTGGTTTACTAGAGCCTCTGTTTTCTAGTTTGTTGTTAATTACTCTTTGTGTACTCCTTTTTTCACCCGTCTTGTTCTGCTTGTTCTGTAAAAATCCTTTTTTTACCACAGAGCCAAAGTGGAGCATGGAAGAACAGCTTGCCCTGCTGAATTCTCGATTTAATACCCGGATCCTAATTGACCTATTTGTATGGCATGATGACCGGGATTCCAGCCGGAATATAATTTATGTAAGCCTTCCAAAAAAAAAGTGATCAATTATGCATGGCATGGGGGGGCGGTTGGTCCTTTTCCGAGCATCGATCCTCTCTCGCTAAAATATCAATGACTTCTCCTTCCTCCCAAGTCGCTCAGTAGAAATGATTTACAGGCTTCACATTCCCCAGAGCAGACCACCCCCCTTCTCTCATCAGCTGGCACTTACAGTCTCCGTAACTCACTCTGAGACTTATAAAGTAGGAAGAATAAAAACCATTTTTTAAAACTTACAGTTCTGAACAGATCACCCAGTAAACTGAACAAAACATGGCTGCTTTTGATCGACAGGCCTCAACAGACTGGTAGACCCCAACAGACTACAAAGAGGGAAAGAGCTCAGAGCAAAGAGGCGGGATTCCCTCTGAACTCAGAGGCAGGGGAGGAACAATTGGTTAGTGTTGGATAGATTGACATGTAAAGTTCCCTACCTCCCAGCCATACATTCTCCAGGCAGCATGCGAGTTTGCAATAACTCCAACATTTATAAGGTGTGATTCAAACTTACAGGAAAGGCAAATGTTATATGGTTTGATAGTGTCAACAAAAGATCCAGATGCGATCTCTAAACCTCATTACAGTAGCCCAGAAAGTAGCTAGTCAACCTTCAGGGACAGGTAGTCTTCTGTGTTTGACAACAACCTTTCAGCATCTCTGTTAGAGAGCTTCCTACCCCGACCAGCTGTGCCTTCCAGAGACCTTTTAAAGCTTGAAATAGAAGGTCATACCTTTGAGATTTTCCCCATGCGGAATTTTTTGCTTTGTTGTTCACTTGTTGATCTTTTGAGATGCCTGATATTGAAACTTCCAATATTCATCGTGTCCTGTTTCCTATGAGTTTCTCTGGTTTCTTTCCTCTCCCACCTCCAGATTGACCAACCTGGGTTGGGAATGCCCTCCAGAGATTACTATTTCAACAATGGCAGCTACAAAAAAGTGAGTATTTTCTGCTGTTTCTAAATGCCATGGCGATAGGAAGCCTGTTAATGACTCCCAGGAGCAGCATAAATATTGGCACCGAATGGCCATTGAGGTAAGAAGTCAATGTAGGCTTTGTTGCTCTTACCTGCCTGAGTCACATGACTTCGTAACTTGCGGCAATTTGGTGCTGTTTCAGTTCTAAACCCTGAATGACTGGTTTCTGTCTCCCTCTACATAGGTGAGAGAAGCATATTTCCAGTTTATGGTCACCATTGCCAAGATGATTAGGAAAGACATGAACTTGTCCAGAGATGACAGCTTTGTTCTGGAAGAAATGAGGAAGGTGATGGAGTTTGAAACAGATATTGCAAACGTAAGTCCAGTGTTTGTGCAGAGTCCAAAGGTTTAAGCATAGTAATATTGGGAGGTACAGTTTTTAGTGCACCTAAAAAAAATCCCTCCCTCCCTCCCTCCCTCCCTTCTTTCTTTCTTTCTTTCTTTCTTTCTTTCTTTCTTTCTTTCTTTCTTTCTTTCTTTCTTTCTTTCTTTCTCTCTCTCTCTCTCTCTCTCTCTCTCTCTCTCACACCTGCTTTTCCAAACAAACGTCTCCACAATGTAGACAAACAAGCAAATGCCATTAAAACAATTTACAAATATAAAGTGTATTCCACTTCTGAAGCACTCTGCTTGGAATCAGAAATGTTCTTTCAGAAGTTAAAACTTACTTACTCTGCTTCTTCTTTCCCCTGCGTAGTTTTACTCCCTTCCTCTTTTAAAACAATAAAACCCGGAGCACTGAAAGGTGTAACTGCATCACTTTGATGTGATGTACATTCACCACATTCTTTGTAGAGGTGCTCCCCCAAGTGGTGAAACAAGTCTTTGTGTCACACAACACATTTTCCTTATTTGCATGGCTTAGAAGATGACCGCAAGTTAAGTTTTGAAGTCCGATCACTGTATCTTGATAGAAATCTGTTGTGGGTAGGAAAATTGATTAATAGCAAGAAATGCATATTTCCCTAGATACCTAGATTATCCCATTCTTTGCTCTCCCTCACCCTTTTATTGGGGGAAAAATGATTTTCCCCCACAATAGTTTTGACTGATCACTAATTTCCAAATTTCTCCTGAGAGATCTACTTTCAGCTAAATGAAAGAAAATTCCCCCCTATCTATAGAAGAACACATACTCTGTAGCAGTTAGAGCAAAATACGATGAGAAAGAAGATCTGGGTTCAAATTTCTGCTTGGCTGTGTAACTCACCAAGTTGAGTTTAGGACACCTGATCGTCGCAGTCTGATCTACCCCACAGAGTTATTGTGAGGGGGGGAAAATGGAGGAAGACAGAGATGCAGAGCTGCCTGAAGAAAAAGCTGGGGTATCAATGAAATAAAGAAAGAAGCAAGAAATAAATAAAAGCAATTTTGTTCTCTGCTTTCTAGGCTACAACTCCGGTAGAGGAAAGACATGATTCCACGTCCCTCTACAATAAAATGACGATTGCTGAGCTCCAGGAAAGATTTGATTTGAGCGTGAGTGTCTGAAGGCACCTTCTCTAAAGTTCAACATGGCTAGCAGCCGAAGGCTTCTGTCCCCTTCTGGTCCTGATACGTATATAAAGGTTTGGACCTTGGAAGGTAGAGAACAGAAACCTATGGCTTTATGTTGTTGTTATGGGCTCTCAACTCAGTTGGAACTTGGGGCTACCTTATAATTTCATGGTCTCCAAAAGGTCCCGTCCACTCTGGATCGGTGGCTTCCTATATCTAAGTCAAACTATGGCCTTGGGTGAGCAACTACCCCCCAGGATGCTTCCAGAAGAAGGGAATGGTAGACCACATGAGAATACTCGCTACTTAAAAACAACCCTGAAAAGGTCCACCATAAGCCAGAATTGACTTGACGATGATGATGACAATGACAATGACAATGATGGTGGTGATGATGATGATGATGATGATTCAAAAACCACCAGGCCCAGTCAAAACTATAAAAACATGGACTGGTATTCTATGATACAAGTTCCAACCAAAAATCTAAGTATCTGTTAAATATCGACACAGTATGTATGCTGTTCCGAATATTGCCGATTTTTGTAACTCTGCTGGTGTTATTTCTGTAATATTGCCTGTGTTGCAGAACACAATCCCTAGAGCACTATGGTGGGTGGAAGCATTCATTTTTCAGCTTCTATAGACAGTCAAAACCTCTTAGGTTCATCTCTCTTTCTTTTTTGTACCTCTAGGACTTCAACTGGACCTTCTTCATCCGAAACATCATGTCTTCAGTAAATATCAAGATCAGTCCCAGTGAGGAGGTGGTTGTACACGGAATACCATACCTCCGGCAGTTGAAAGCCGTCATCGCCAACTATTCAGCCAGGTAGATAAAATCAGTTGCACGAAACAGAAAGAAACAAAGAGACAGTAGAGAGATGATGAAAAACAGAGGGGGAAAATAGAAAGAGAGGAAGAAGAAGGAGATAGAAGAAGAAAAGGCAGGAAAAAGAGAGAGAACAATGAAGGAAGGGGAAAAAGAGGCAGGGATAATGTAAATGAGCCTTCATTCTTTGCACTAAATCAGTGGTATATAAATGGAATGAATGAATGAATGAATGAATGAATGAATGAATGAATGAATGAATGAATGAATGAATGAATGAATGAATGAATGAATGAATGGGAAGCATGAGAGGGAAGAGAAAGGAGGAAGAGAACAGTAAAGTGAGAAACTGGGAGTGATATGGTGTGAGAGAGATAAAAATATGAGGAAAAATACGAG